CCTGTATCTGTCTAAGGGTCGATCTTTTCACCCCTAAGTAAAGTTATATGTAAGTATACTTGACTGAGAAACAAACAATAGCCCTATAGTTTAATCGGCAAGTAGTTATTTTCAACTTTTCTCAGAGGTAAAAAGACTGGCCCTAAGCAAGAACAAGCTACGCACACTATGGAAGATCTTTAACAGGCATTGTCGGCTCAAAGAAAACATAAACAGGGACTAGTAGAACATATTGCGCGTAGATATTCTGTCTGAATGTGTCCAGAATCCAAAAGCACTATTTTTAGGAGTATACTAAATAGTAGACGACAATCTACCTAATGGGAATCTACCCAATTTGGAGCCACTCCAAATTCTACATTTCCCTACTGCAGTATATTATGAAACTGGTGGTAAAAATTGTGAACAAGATTAGAGCTCAAGCGTTATAAAGAAGATTATTCAAAACCTTGGCCGATGAAGTTGACTGTCAATACGGGGACCTACTCCTTCACTCTGAAGTCCGATGGTTAAGTAGAGGACGGGTGCTGAAACGTTTTAATGATGTCCTATCTGGCATAGTTCAATTTTTCAAACAACGCGATGAACCGACTCCGGAACTAGAAAATTCAATCTGGCTTAGAGATTTTGGTTTTCTCGTGGACATTACAGATAAATTAAACGAACTTAATTTACAGCTTCAGGGGAGAGACAAAGAACTAGCGAAAATGATTTCTGATATAAAAGCATTTATCAAAAAGCTGGAGTTTTGGGAACAAAACCTAATTACAACAGGTGCGGGCGAATGGTGAGGATTCTACAAATCTAGCAATAAGCAGTGGAGTACCTCAAGGATCAGTATTAGGTCCAATTTTGTTTTTATTATTCATCAACGACATCACAGACTTAAGAATAAGTGGTAGAATTACTTTATTTGCTGATGACACCAGTGTAACCTGGAATAATTCTAACATGCAGACATTACAATCTATCATAAGTGAAGATCTAGTGACTATAAGTCCTGGTCTGATTCGAATGGACTTTGTTTCAACACCAGTAAAACTGTAGCATTGTCTTACAGAGGTACTTTACAACCTATAACTTTAAACAATAATCTGATCCAAACGGTGACTTCAATCAAGTTTTTAGGTCTTTATATAGACGATTCTGCTCATATAGATACCTTAGCAAAAAAATTATCCTCCGCATGTTTTGCCATTAAATCGGTTTCTAAAGAGCTGACTCCTTCTACTGCATTAATAACCTACTTTTCCTTATTCGAATCTCACCTTCGCTATGGTTTACCTTTCTGGGGTTCTTGTAGCTTATACCTTTTCGAATCTATTTTTAAACTGCAAAAAAGAGCAATCCGCTATGTATTTGGTTTAAGTAGTAGGACACATTGCGAAAATTACTTCAAAAATTTCAAAATTCTAACCCTTCCTGCTCTATTTATTTTCGAATCCGTCTGCTTAGTTCGCAAGCACATTCAAAATTTATCCGAAAGACCGACTCGTAGATATCCTACAAGAAATTTAGAGACTGATGTTTATTTAACAATGCCCACTTCTGACCTATTAAAACATTCCATTACCTACAATGCCAAAAAATTGTATAATAACCTTCCGATGCAATTAAAATCTATAAATACATACGATAAGTTCCGAAGACTGGCTAAAGCTTTTCTTCTAGAAAGACCATATTACACAGTAGCAGAATTTTATAACGTACCTTAGACATTTGAGTTCCACATACAATGGCATTAATTAAATAATTAAATATTAAAGTTTAAATTTAAATTTAAAAATTAAATTAGAATAATTATAATGACGGACATTGCATATCCATTGCAATTGTTATTCCTATTTTGTCTGTTTGTTTCTGTTTGTTTTTTCTGCTGTTTAGTTATTTTTATAATATGTTTAGTATTTAAGTTACACGCTTTGTCTATAAAATTTTTGTAAATTTTTTTACGACAATAAAGCATATCTCTCTCTCTAATTAACAGCGATGCCAAGCATTTTCCTATTCTTTCAGAAAAAATAACTCAAAATCCATTAGAACCCTATGACAGCAAATATCATGTAGAAATAGTTTCTACCCTGAAGAATATCTTCAAAAATCGTTTTAAGCATTTTAACGAAATGGCTTTAGTAGCGCAGTTTGTTGTTTCACCCTTTATGGAAATTGATATCCAACAGTTTGCAACTTGTGTTATGCAGAACTTTGGCGAAGACATCGCTGCAACAGAAATGGAAGTAATTGAGTTTCAAAATGATTTAGCCTTAAAATCGTTAGTCTCAAGTACCAAATGTATCTGGCCTATTGTAATTAAAGACAAATATTCAGTTCTATGCCGTGTTGTCTTGAAAGTGAAAGCATTATTCAGTTCAACCTATTTGTATGAATCTTCTTTTTCCAATATGAAGTTTATTAAGAACAAATATCGCAATCGACTTACAGATGAACATTTGGATAATTGTATTCGAATGGCTGTATCAAATTATACTGCCAACATTAAAAAAATTATCGATGAGTTTGAGTGTCAGCCTTCTCATTGAACGTGCTTTTTTATTTTTCAATGTTTATGTTCATGATAGTCCGTTACTTTTTTGTTGTTATTATTAACTATTTGTAAATCTTACGTGACATGCCGTTGTGGCTGGATAAAAGTTTGTGTTTATTTTTCAAACACCTTCGTTTGGTAGGTAGGAATGTAGCTATGAACAAGTACGTACTAGTAATATTAGTTATTTTGTTATTAGTTTATTATTAGTACCTATGTAATATGTATTACCAGTTAAATAGTAAAATAAATACATATAATGATAAATTTAACTATGGATTATTTCATTTACGTTGCGTTACGTGGCTTCCGTGAGGGTAGCTCGCTGTTTATTTCAAAATTAACAAAGTAGCTCAACACATTGAGAGGTTGGCGACCACTAATATAGAAGGTGCATATGATAGCGTCTGCTTAACAATATTAAAAAATAAGATGATTAACTTATTCTACATACTTCCCCAACTTGCGGAAACAATTGTTGATTTTTATACACAAAGAAAGTTGTATATAAGAATACATAATAATAAAATTATTGGACCGAGATATAATAGTTCTGGCATTCCACAGGGTTCAGTATTGAACCCCTTGTTGTTTAATATGTATACTGCTGATTTTCACGAAATCTGTATCAAAAATCCATCTTTCAAAACAATACAGTAAGCTGATGATTTTTGTTTATATACCGAATCTAAAAAATATGATTCATGTTTACAATCTTTGGAAAAACTTCATAAATACTCCTCTAATTGGTTTATAAGTAACGGTTTCCTAATGTCACCCAGTAAATCTAATGTCTGCATTTTTTCTCGACACAATGTCCCAAATATCGAAAAACTAAAATTACTTTTCGAAAACCAGTTTTGAAATATTCCAAAACATTTGTGAAGCCTCGGCATTTATGCCCCTAAGAACTGTCCTAGTCTTTAACCATTTGTCAGAACCACTCGACTATGCTAATAAGGGGTTATTTTGATTTATTATTTAATTTTTATTTTTTTTATGCTTCTGGTGATGGTGAATGGATGTTCCTTCCGGACTCCAGGACCCTTTGGCTGATGCCAGTTGCTGCCTTCATCCCTTAATAGTATATTGATAAACATAGGTACAGCGGTTCTTTAGACATGTTGGTTGTTTCACATAGACGAGGTTTCTTTGGTTCATACTTATCTTTGGACCTTATGACTTGTTTTTAAATCTTGGGTCCCATTTTTGAGCCGTATTATTTTCCTTTGAGACATTCAAAAGAGTACAAATTAACTTGGATTGCATTATATAAAGATATTTTACACCGAGAAGTAAGCTTTGAATGTGACCTGTAATTTTTTGCTGTAAAAATGAATTCATTCGGTTACAAATGCCTAAAGTGAGAGAAAACTGAATAGTTTTGAATATGAACAATATGAAGATAGTGCCATAATTAAAAGTAGGTTAGATAGTTCTATTTAGAGAACTGAAATATCTTGAAATTAAATTAAAAAATTAAAAATTATTTTAATACTTTGTCCTAGAACTGGTAAACATACTTATCGAACAAATCAATAAAAAAAATTAATCGGAAAATAGTAAATACTTAAATTTCACTAAGTAACCAAAACTCATATGATTAATAATGCCTAATATTAAAAAAAACCGTGAATTAATTGTTTTCTCAAAATCGTATTTATTACTGCGTAGCTACACTTTCGTAATATCTAAAATAAGAAATATATTTTCTAAAAGGATTAAGATAATCTCATTGATAAAGGTCATAAGAGGATTTGGAATTAAATGATGAAAATAACAACTCACTAGGTAAGGTTAACAACCAATTAATTTTCCTAGAATGGAGCTGTACATTATATCCAGATGGTTTTATATGATTTGACGTAAAAAATTAACCTACCACCCTACTTTACGAAATATACGAGGTTGTTACTAATTTTTCTAAGTAACTAACTCATAATCTCACACTTTACTGACTTGGTACATAAATAACTATATTATGTCGCCGCAATTTTGCGCATGCCCGGCACAGTATATTTGTTGCAGTAATGCGTTGTTTTCATATTTATTTATGTATTTATTTAATAAGCAAATATGTATAGTATGTTTAATAAACAGCTTTTATATTATGACCTACTCCAAATATGTTTAATGTGTCACACAAAATGATTTAAAAAATAATCTTTTCAAATATAACTCCTTTCAAATTTTGATTTAAATCGGACGACCCGGTTTATTTTCGTAGTTATTCAAAATAAAGAAGTTTTCGTAGAAATTTAATCGATAAAATTTGGTGTATTGTGGTATTCCTTTTGATAAAACAATAAATGTATTTAATTTTGACTAATTTATTTTCTAGAATAAAAACCACTAAACAATATTTTTGTTTCAGGTTCCAATCAACGAGTGTATGAAATAACTATGTCTTACTAACAAATTACTAAAAATTCATTAACTAAAAAAAAAAAACGAAATGGCATTACTCGAAGCCAGGCCATTCAGGCCTTTCAAATCTAGCGAGGAATATCTTTACGCGATGAAAGAAGATCTAGCAGAATGGTTGCAGACCATGTATCCTCATTTAAATATAGCCATGGAGAATTTTATGGCGAAACTGGAGACTGGAGTTGCTTTGTGCGAGGTAAGTTTTTTTTATTGTTAACATGGTATGTCTCAACTGTTAGATATTATAATCGAACGGATAGTTTTCTATTAATAATGATACTCTTCCTAATTCACCCCCTTACGAGTGAATTTCAAACTCTGAAGCCGACTGAGCTTGTGTGAAAAAGATGATTGTTGGTGCCATTTGACTTACAGATTAGGAAAACCCGGAAAATTCCGCCCACCATCATCGATAAGGTAACGCATGGCGATTTATAATCTGGATGTCATATCAACATAAATTAAATTTCTTCCAATACGGCACACATAAAATCAGTGGAGGCTCGTGATAATTTAGGTATTTAACATTTTTCTCTGCGATATTATCTTCCAGCCCCTTTGATAATATTTAATTAGGCTTTTTGTTAATTTAGTACAGTCTAAAATAGCAAACCGTAAATAAATATATATATATATATATATATATATATATATATATATATATATATATATATATATATATATATATATAAATTTCCAGTTTTGGTGTATTGTAGCAAGCAGTGGCTGCTTATGATAATTTAAAAAGAGTCTTCACTTTTTCCAATAATTTTATCATTTGGAAGTTCGGTTCAAAACTTTGTACAAGCACCAATATCACTGTTTTTTTATTTGGGTTTATATTAAGTGAAGTTTTTATTATCATCAATAGCATACTGTTTGCAAGCACTATACAACTATTAATGAATATTTTAGTTATTGTAACATTTGTTTTGTTTTTAATGCGTTGGAAACCATTAATAATCATTATTAGATAGTCAGCTGACTTTTCTTCATATTTTGAGATTATTTTTAAATATATAAGGTGTTTCTAAATTCATGCGACAAAATTCAGAAGGTGATTGCTCGTATGAAATTAAGATGGGTCTTCCCTATAACAGAATTTCCTCTGCCCACCCCTTTCTGAGATATCACCCTTAAAAGGTGGTGACTAAAATTGGGTTTTTATTTTTTTTCTAAAATTTTAGTAAAGCTAGAAACTTGAAATTTTGTAATTTTGGTACATTCGCAAAGGACTAACCACGGGTATTTTTTTAATATTCCTGTTACATTATAGGGTGGTGAAATTAGCAACCCTTACTTTATTTCATATCAAAATTTTTTTTTGAGATGAAGTTTTATGAAATAAAATGATAACTTGAAATACTTGTTTTATTTAATTTTTTTTTAATTTTTATCCCAAAACCAATATCTACAAAGAAAAAAAAATATATATTTTTTTAATAAATTGAGTGGAAAACAGTAAAGATGTAAAATTTAATACGATTCATAATAAATGCTGGAAATGATCACCTCTAGCCAAAATACATGAACGTAGTCTCCGTGTCATGAATTGCCGTACACACGCTATTTTAATACGATTCTTCAAATCGTTAATATCAACTATGGGTGTCGTGTAGACTAATGATTTACGGTAACCTAATAAACATAAATCACAAGGATTTATTTCTGGAGATCGAGGAGGCCAATGTTGGGGCCCTCCTCGACCAATCCAACGGTTGGGATATGTTGCATCTAAATGTTGCCTAGCAGTCCGACTGAAGTGTACTGGAGCACCATCGTGCATGAACCACATGTTTTGTCTGATATTGAGTGCGATGTCTTAAAGTAGTTCAGGGAGCTCACTTTCGAGAAAACTGGTGTAAGAAATTCCATTTAATGGCTGAGGCAGAAAATGTGGCCCAATTATGTTATCCCCTACAATACCAATCCATACGTTCACTGAAAAAACACTTTGAAAATGGTGCTCTATAATCTCATGGGGATTCTCGTCTGCCCATACGTGTGAAAATGTATGATAGATACTCTTGAAAAATGTGCCTCGTCCCTATTTAAAAATTGAGGATTTTGTCGCATTTCGTGTGTTAACTATTCACAAAATCTAACTCGTTGAGGAAAATCTCTAGGTAAAAGAGCTTGAACTCGTTGGATGTGGTAAGGATATAACTGCTGCTCTTTTAAAACTCGCCACACAGATGAATGGCTGATATTTAGGTTGTTGGCAATTTTTCTAGTGCTTTTTTCCGGGTGTACATCAATTTCATTTAAATTTGCTTGTTTTACCATTACATTTCTAACTGTCCGGAAACGACCAGTGTTGTTTGAGTTTCTTTTTAACATTTCAGTTTCGGATAAGCGGTTGTGAATACGTGCAAATACGGAATGATGAGGCGTCATTCGTTGCAGATATTTTTCAGCATAAAGACGTCTAGCTTGCCGAGAATTACCATTTGCCATACCATACACAAAATGCATGTCGGCCATTTCAGCGTTTGTATTCGATCCGTGCGAAGTCATGGAAAGGGAAGCAAAAGCGATAGTAGCGCTAGCTGCGGATAATTCGTGCATTTTAGGGCGATATTTTGTAATTTTGGCATATCAAATACACGTAAACATTTTACTTTTTTTCAAAAAAAGTAGGTAAAAACAATACAATAAGCAACCGGAGTTGCTGTGTTGAAAATTGTACAAATACTAGCAAAAAAACAGTGAAACTTATATAAAAAATTTCAGTAGCAAAGTGGAAATTAAATCAAGGAAATAAATGGATAGATATACAATAAGAAGAAAAATTACCTTTATTTTGGTAATAATAACCGTAATGCTGCAAATAGTAGACATCAGAAACTTGAAAGGTTTTAAATAAACAATAAATTATCATTTTACCATGTTCTTTAATATCCCTTATTCTTAAATGTTCATTCAGCAAGGACTAGATTTCAAGATTTGTGCCTTTGATTATTATATGTGGTTGGATCGCAATTTTGTAACTTACTGATGGGAAATTAGTTTTAATCATTCATTCTATGTTTTCTTTCGAACAAAAATGAAAATATAAGTAATGATCCTTTTTTTATACATTTTAACTTCACGCTATTATTAAATGGTATTTTTGTATTTTGACAGAATAGACTAATTATTCTTCAATGAAAACTTATTAGACTTAGGCAACTTCTCATACATTTTCCAGTAAATACTGTTGCCTGCCTATATTTTATTATTGATTTATATCGATTATACATAATTTTCTTTAATTTAAGCGATACAAATATATAATAATAATAATAATAATAAATTAATGTTTTACTTGTTTTACAAATCCATACACTTTTATTAAAACTAACATGTATACTTTTTAATTACGAATTCTATTAAAAGTTGCATTTGTCAGTACACGCAGAAATAGTCCATTAGTATCAAAACGAATTGGCGCTGCTGTCGCGAACGGAGCGAATACAAGTTATAAAATAAACAATAGACAGATAACTCAAAAATAACAACCTTTAAACTTCGACTGGTAACTATCAACAACAGTGTTTGACATCAGACTACTACAAGTGACAGCAGCCTACTATTCTAAAACTTTATAATTAAAAACAAGGTAGAGGTGGTCATTTCCAGCATTTATTATGAATCGTATTATATTTTACATCTTTACTGTTTTCCACTCAATTTATTAAAAAAATTATAAATTATGGTGTTTATTTTTTTCTCTGAAGCTATTGGTTTTGGAAAAAAAATTTAAGAAAAAAAAATTTAAATAAAACAAGGATCTCAAGTTATAATTTTATTTCATAAAACTTCATCTCGAAAAAAAGTTTTGAAATGAAATAAAGTAAGAGTTGCTAACTTCACCCCCCTATAATGTAACAAGAATATTGAGTCCTTTGCGAGTGCACGAAAATTACAGAATTTCAAGTTTATAACTTTACACTGAAATTTTAGAAAAAAATAAAAACTAAATTTTAGTCACCATCTTTTAAGGGTGATATCTCGGAAAGGAGTGGGCTGAGGAAATTTTGTTATAGGAAAGACCCATCTTAATTTCATACGAGCAATCATCTCCTGAATTTTGTCGCATGAATTTAGAAACACCCTCTATATCAGGTTATGTATAAGTATTGATTTTTGTGTAAAAAATATTATATGAAATTTTACCTACCGCTTTTCCTCTTTTTTATTTTAAATATAATAATTTCCACAATTTATCACGCATGTAAAATAAAATATTATATTTTTTAAATACCTTTTGTTGGCAAGTGAATTAAAATGTTTATTTTATAAGATCAGTCCCATCGCAATACATATAACTAGAATGAAGATATATAACGCGTGGCATTCTCATACATTTGCAACTTTAAGTTTGAATATCTTCAGAACGGCTCACTCTATGAAAAATTATACTCTTCACAGTTTAACAAACCCCCCCCTAACTCCCATTTTCAGTCAGATTTTTTTCAGAATCAATAGGCTTCAGCCCCTCATTGAGCTTGATTTTGTCTAAAAATTTTAAGTTGATATTATTGTTCGTTTTTGAGTTAGAATTTTTTTAAATATTTCAACTTCCTTTGGCCTCCCACTTTTATTATGTAAAGAGTACAATGATAATATAATCAAGGCTAAAACAAAAACATAATAGACGAAAAAAAATCAAAACTAAAATGTGGATAGACGTAAATGAAATAAAATGAATTTAGCTCAAAGCCAATACCGCAACAGGCATTGAATTACATCCGAAGGAAAGACAGCAGAGATAAAAAATTAATTTTTAACACTCTCTACTTTGATTTTGCTCACCAAGGAGAACATCATTCTTGGACCGGTTTCGTCCTTATTAGGACTCCTCAGCAAGAAATAGATAGGTTCTCAATTCCAATCTCTAATAGAATTAACAAATGCTACACATTTTACCAGTATACCATAAAGTTGGTTATGAAGAGAATAAGAATTCAAGTAGTGAAATGGTATCGCCATCTGTTCTTAGTAAGCAAAATCAAAATGCGCTGTGGTACCCAGTTAGAAAACTAGGTGGAACCAAAAAGCACCAGGCGGGCAATTTGTAGACGAAAATAAATCAAAACTCAAATGTGGATAGACGTAAATGAAATAAAATGAATTTAGCTCAAAGCCAATATCACACAAAATATAACGACCGTCTCCCCTTCAAAAAACAACTACTCCTTTGGCTAATACCTT